AAGGGCGGGGTAGAAATCCCCTCTCCCCCTTCTCCCGTTTTTTTTTTGTTTATTTGCTGGCAAGTCGCAACTGACTTACGGTGACCCCTATAGGGTTTTCAAGGCAAGAGGCATTGGGAGGTGGTTTGCCCTTGCCTGCCTCTGCGTAGCAACCCTGGACTTCTTTGGTGGCCTCCCACCTGGTTACTAGCCAGGGTAACCCTGCTTGGCTTCCAATATCTGATGAAATCAGGCTAGCCTGGGCTATCCAGGCCAGAGCATTGCTAGATTTTAATAGACATTTTTTTTAAGTAATATTATTATTATTATTATTCATGAATTTGGTAAGGTGCCTTGAGCAGGTTCCTGGAAAGGCGGCACGGAAATTTTCTAGACAAATAGAAATAACTAAGAATGTTGTTACATATGTTTTGCAGTTCTGCAGGACTGCGCAAGCACCCCATCTCCCTGAATCAGGGTTGCCAGCTCCAGCTTGAGAAGAAATACCTGAAGATTTGGGGGTGGCATATGGGGAGGGCAGGGTTTGCGGAAGGGTGCTCAGTGGGGTGTAACGGCAGAGAGGCCACCCTCCAAAGCAGCCATTTTCTCCAGGAGAACTGACCTCTGTCATCTGGAGGACAGTTGTCGTTCCAGGAGATCTCCAGGTCCTGCCTGGAGGTTGGCAACTCTCAGGGCTATTTTGGGGCAGGAACGCACAGGAACGGAGTTCCGGCTGGCTCCTGAGTTGGCCACGCCCAGCAGGAGCTCATTAGCATAATAGGCCACACCCAACAGCAGAAACCCATTAGGATTGGCTACATTAGGGGTGTGTGGCCTAACATGCAAAGGGTTCCTGCTACAAAAAAAGGCCCTGGGTTTTGACAACAAGCAAGGTAAACAGAATAAGAAGGGAAAGGTGGGTGTGGCTCGATGACCACACTTCTGGTAACATGGGGGTGTGGCCTAATGTGCTAATGAGCGGTGCTGTCAGGGTGTGGCCTAATATGCTAATGGGTTTTGCTGTTGGGTGTGGCCTATTATGCTAATGAGTTCCTGCTGGGCTTTTTCTACAAAAAGAGCTACATGGAATAGTCTGATTCTGCCCGAAGCTGGGAGAGCCATTCTAGTCCTCTTGAAGTAAAGCTCTTTCCCCCTCCCTTGCCTGCCCCATCCGTGCTTCGATCATTAATATACTTAATTGATACTTCGGTTGTCCACATTCAGCATCTGAGTTGTGCTCCCCAAAGATGAAAACCTGTTCATGCGTCCCGAAGTGTGTTTGCTTGGGGCTTTTAGCAATCTTGCTGCATCAATAATGCTTTCCCTGCAATTCTGGAATGTATTTTGCAGCGCTAAGGCAAAGCATCAGAACTTCTATGATTTCATCTATGTAAGAGGTGGCAGTGGAAGCGCAGTCTCGCAGACTCACAGTATTTGTTACCCCACTGTTTTAGGGATTTCTAAAATACATCCTGGTGCCAAATAATGCTTTGAAATAAAAGGATCAATTAGGATTTAGAGGATGCTCAAGGCGGATTATCTCAAACAGCAGTCAGAATTAAGTATAAAAACATGTTAAGGCCAGTCCCTAACCAGAGCATTAGTATTAGTACAATAAGCTTAAAAAATAAGAATTACAAAAGCATCAGGGAGTTTTTTAAAAAAGCAATTTATCCTCCACCGAAGTTCTACAAAGCTCCTGTTTTGTAAATCTTTCGAGGAGAGAATCATCTTGTGTTTTCTATGGAAGGGTCCTTCTGGGATCTAGTCAGTTCCGTGCCACACTTCTGGGTAAGGGTGCCACGTTTCTGGAATTCCTGAACATTTTGTGGGTGAAGCCAGGCGAAGGCAGAATTTGGGGAGAGGAAGGGAGCTTGGGGGGGGGGGATGATTCCATAGAGTCTACCTTCCCAGACTGCCATTTCCTCCAGGGGAATTGGTCTCTGCCGCCTGGGGGGACTTCTAGCTTTCGGTCCTGGCCCCTCTTTGTCACATAGCAATAGGTGTAGTGGATATATGGGAGTTTGGAGAGAGGGCTGCCCAATAAATCTCGGGCAGTTTGCCTGCTCATTACTCTCTCCTGCCACTGCTGACATTAAGGAAAAGGAAAACCAACAAAGAAAGAAAGGTATAAATGGTTACACAAAAGCCCTACGGTGATGAAGTCAGACAGCAAGAGGTTGGCCGACTTGGGGGGCAAACGAGCTGGAGCCCCGTGCAGCTTCTCCCTCTGGTTGCCAACCCCCAGGGGGTGCAAACCAAGAGGAAAGATCAAGGGATGGAGGTAAAGATGAGCAAAACGACCGTGATATATCATGCCAAAAGAAATGTCTGCAGACGCATAAATCCTTATCCAATATTCAGTTTACGGGCGCTAATCAATTCCTCGGATTATTCACGATGACGCCATCAACACAACGGACTATGCATATCAAGTCTCGTTTCTTTCTCAACTTTGTCAGAGTGTGTAGCGTTGACGTTTCAATATAGTCAATTCGTTTAGCAACCACCATGGCAAAATCTCTTAAAACCATTCATCAATTCACTGGCGTGATGCAGGTATCAAATGTTCTTATCGCCTATATCCTTTTCTAAAGCCAATAATTACTGTCCCGCACTCTGACAAAGCTGTGAACGAAACGAGACTTGATGTGCATAGTCGGTTGTGTTGAGTGATTCTTGAGGAATTGATTTGCTCCAGTAAACTGAATATTGGATAAGAAGAAGAAGGAGATCGGATTTATATCCCGCCCTTCACTACCCAAGGGAGTCTCAGGGTGGCTTACAAACTCCTTTCCCTCCCCCTCCCCACAACAGACACCCTGTGAGGTAGGTGGGGCTGAGAGAGCTCTTGACAGAAACTGCTCTTTTTTCAAGAACAGCTCTTATCAGAACTACGGCTTGCCCAAGGTCATCCAGCCAGGTGCAAGTGGAGGAGTGGGGAATCAAACCCGGTTCTCCCAGATTAGAGTCCGCGCACTTAACCACTACACCAAACTGAGAGAGAAGAGCAGGCAAAAAGAACACTTCAGGATGGAACTAAGTTGGAACCAGGCAAGGGAGGCCCATACTGCAGGAATTCCGCCACCCCAGCCATAGGCCTGGCGGAACATCTCTGTTTTATAGGCCCTGCGAAACTGCATTAAATCCTGAAGGGCCCGTCTCTCTCTTGGGAGAGTGTTCCATCAGGCTGGCAACCAGAGCTGAAAAAGGCTCTGGTTGAGGCTATCTGGACCTCCTTCAGGCCGGGGATTACCAGCAAGTGTTGCTCCATTGAGGGACATATTGGAAGAGACGGTCCTGTTAGGTATGTTGGTCCCAGACCACATAGGGCTTTAAAGGTTAAGAACAAAATCTTGAACTTGACTCAGTATGCAAAGCTGGTGCAGGTGGTGGAACACCGGCTGTATAGGGGCTCTTGATGATGTTCCTGTAGCAAAGGACCTCCTGCTACCAGTAGAGCCCTGACCGTACCATTTGACCACTGAGCGACCCCCCCTGTCTGTGTTTCAGTTCATGCAAAGGGGCTTGGATTCGGAAACCAAGAAGCAACTCGAAGAAGAGGAGAAGAAAATCATCAGCAAGGAGCACTGGTTCCTGGATCTGCCAGAACTAAAGGAGAAGGAGTAAGTTCCTCTTTTACGTAAGACGCTGAACTGCAGGCTGTGGAAGGTCGGTAGTTCAGCCGTTCGAGACCCGAGTGTGCCGCATGATGGAGTGAGCTCCCGTCTCGAGTTCCAGCTCCTGCCAACCTAGCAGTTCGAAAGCAAGAAATTGCAAGTAGATAAATAGGTACCACTTTGGTGGGAAGGTAACAGCGTTCCGTGCGCCTTGGTGTTTCGTCATGCCGGCCACATGACCACGGAAACGTCTTCAGACAGCGCTGGCTCTTCGGCTTGGAAACGGTGATGAGCACTGCAACCCTAGAGTCAGACTCGACTGGCTTTCGAGCAAGGGAACCTTTACCTTTACCTTTAGCAAATCCACCCCCCTCCCCCCAAGCTGGAAGGCAAACATCCGTTTTTTGTATGCTTGTTTGTTTTTTTGCCTGTCTGTCCTCCTGAGGAATTGCTGACTTAACTGAGCTTTTTTTTATTACGCTAAAGGAGAAGGAGTAAGTTTCTCTTTTACGTGGGGGGTAAAAAGCAAATCCACCCCCACCCCCCAAGCTGGAAGGCAAACATCCGGCTTTTGTTTGCTTGTTTGTTTTTTTGCCTGTCTGTCCTCCTGAGGAATTGCTGACTTAACTGAGCTTTTTTTTATTACTCTCTCCCTTTTCGTTTTTTTTTTTAATGGCAGGACCTTTATAATAGAAGAGCGGAGCTTTCTGCCCTGCGAGGATCTGCTTTATGGCAGAATGTCGTTCAAAGGCTTCAATCCCGAAGTTGAGGTATTGTGGTCCCAACACGCTGAGAATTTCGAAGTCCCTGGTTCAGATAACCATTTTTGTCCCAGCTTTCTTCCAGGAAATTGGAGGGGGGTGTATCTGCTTTGCTGTCCACCTACCACAACCCTGTGAGGTAGGGTAAACTTACCCAAGGTCACCCAGTGAGCTTCCACGGTGGAGTGGGGACTCGAACCTGGAGTCTACCACTTCCTAGGGCGGCAGTAATTTCTGCTTTGTATCAAGTTGGCCCAGATCAGGGACCGTGGCTCAGTGGAGGAGCGTCTGCCTGGCATTCAGAAGGTCCCAGGTTCAATCCTCGGCATCTCCACTTAAAGGACCGGGCAGCAGGTGATGTAAAAGATTTCTACCTGAGACCCCGGAGAGCTGCTGCCTGTCTGAGCGGACAATACTGATGTTGAGGGACCAAGGATCTGATTCAGTACAAGGCAGCTTCATGTGTTCAAGAGCAGCTCCGTCGCCTTCTCCTTGAGCACATGAAGCCATTGGGGTGTAGTGGTCAAGAGTGCCAAACTAGAATCTGGGAGATCTGGGTTCGATTCCCCACTTGCACCTCGGAAGCTTGCTGGTCGACCTTGGGCTAGTCACGCTCTCTCAGCCTAACCTACCTCACAGGGTTGTTGTGAGGATAAAAGGGAAGAGAGGAGAACGAAGTAAGCCCTTTTGAGTCCCCATTGAGGGGAAAGGCAGAGTACAAATGAATGAAATAATCAGGGCTTTTTTTGTAGAGAAAGCCCAGTAGGAACTCATTAGCATAATAGGCCACACCCAACAGCAGGAACGCACTGGCATATTAGGCCACACCCCTGACAACACAGCTCATTGGCATATTAGGCCGCACCCCCGTGTTACCAGAAGTGTGGTCATCCAGCCACACCCACCTTTTGCTTCTTATTCTGTTTACCTTGTCTGTTGTCAAAACCCAGGGCCTTTTTTTTGTAGCAGGGACTCCTTTGCATGTTAGGCCACACACCCCTAATGTAGCCAATCCTAATGAGTTTCTGATGTTGGGTGTGGCTTATTATGCTTATGAGTTCCTGCTGGGCGTGGCCAACTTGGGAGCCAGCCGGAACTCCGTTCCTGTGTGTTCCTGCCCCAAATAGACTCAGGCCATTGGTTTATCATGGTAAATGTTCTTTCCTCTAGCTGAGAGAGGTTATCCCAGTGTCTTTCACGCTATCTATTACCCGATCCTTTTATCTAGAGATGCTGGGAGATTGAACTTGAGACCTTCTGCGTGCGAAAGGAGATTGTAAGCCGCTCTGAGGCTCCTTTGGGTGGTGAAGGGTGGGGCACAAATCCAATCTCCCCATGGGGACCCCAAATGGCTTCCATCATTCTCTTCCCCATTTTATTCTCACATCACCCCTATTGAGGTAGGTTAGGCTGAGAATATGTGACTGGCCCCAGGTCGCCCAGCGAGCTTCCGTGGCGCAAGTGGGGATTTGAACCTGGGTTTCCCTGATCCTGGCGCGGCACTCTTAACCCTACACCACGCCGACCATCAGATAGCACGCCTGAGGCATCACAAGAGCAATCCGAATGTTCAAGCTGCCGTCCCGTTCCCCGTTGTGCTGGCAGAGACGCGCAGCTGGTGTTAGACTCTGTAGTCTGTTGCTGTCTGGCCATCCCAGGGGAGAGAGGCTCTTGAGGTTCAGGCTTCGTGGAAACGGATGTACAGAGTTGCAGCGAGTGGCGATCCCTGACAAGAAGCAAGGCACATCGTTCATAAGAAAAAAAGAGAGCTTTTGAGGGGGTCAGGGGTCATTTTGTAGAAAAAGAGGTGCAGGAGCTCATTAGCATAACTCATTAGCATAACTTATTTGCATATGCCTGACACCACCGAAAGTGTGTCAGAAGGCAACACCCACCGCTCAGGCTCCACTTGACTGTTTTGGATTGCTAGCTATTGGGGGGGGGGGACGACGTGCAGATCTATCCTCGCAGAGGAGGGAGAGCTTGTACCTGAATAAAACTTGGTCTTAAAGGTGCCACTGGACTGTTTTGGACCGGGGGGCCGGGGGGAGCTCTGCAACTTACCTGGCTGCTTCTTGCTCTGACTGAGGGCTGCTGGGAGCAGGGGGTGGGGCTTGTTGCATGTGCCCGCCCCCTGGGCTCTTTACTGCCAGAGCTCCGCTCCTGTGCGCTCCTGCAGGAAATGACCCCTGGAGGGGGCTAACTAGCATCCCCTGGATGAGAAACTGAGACATTTGTATTACAGTTCCAGGAATCATATGACAGCAGAGCATCTGCTTGGCATGCAGACAGGCTCAGTCCCTTTAGGCATCTGCCTTTAAGAGGATCAGGTAGTAAACGATGACCAGGTTCTCTGCCGATCAGAGGAGACAAGCCTGACCTTGATAGAAGAAGAAGAAGAAGAAGAAGAGATTGGATTTATACCCCGCCTTTCATTACCCAAAGATGTCTCAGAGCGGCTAACAAACTCCTTCCCCTTCCCCTCCCCACAACAGACACCCTGTGAGGTAGGTGGGGCTGAGAGAGCTCTTGACAGAAACTTCTCTTCTTCAAGAACAGCTCTTATCAGAACTACGGCTTGCCCAGGGTCACCCAGCCAGGTGCAAGTGGAGGAGTGGGGAATCAAACCCGGTTCTCCCAGATTAGAGTCCGCGCACTTAACCACTACACCAAACTGGCTCTCAAAGTTCTCTGCCAACCAGAGGAGACAAGCCTGACCTTGATAGGCCAAGAGTGTATGACTCCGTAGAAAACGGTTTCCCATATTCACAAAGCATGTATCTCCTGCGAAGGATGTGTTCCCTGGGTAATTGTCTGCTTAAACAAAGGTCTGCTGCGTCTCTCCTAGAAGTCGAGTACTCATTCTAAGTAACCACCCTGCCCAGACGGTTGTGCGGCATGTTGTCATGTGCGCTACTCATAGTGTTGCCAGCCTCCAGGTGGTGGCTGGAGGGCTCTACTGGTTGCAGGAGCTCCTTTGCATATTAGGCCACACACCCCTAGTGTAGCCAATCCTCCAAGAGCTTACAGCGCTCTTCTTACTGGGGCTACTGTAAGCTCTTGGAGGATTGGCTACACTAGGGGTGTGTGGCCTAATATGCAAAGGAGCTCCTGCAACCAGTAGAGCCCTCCAGCCACCACCTGGAGGCTGGCAACACTATGAGTAGCGCACATGACTGTCACCATCAAATCTCCAGGAATTTCCTAACCCAGAGTTGACAACCCAAGCGGCTCATGAGTAATTTTTATAAGTTGTGATTTAGCATTAGCTGAAAGTCCCCCCCGGGCAAAAAAACACTCAGAAATGCTGTAAAACTAGGCTTGCCAGGTCCCCCTGGGGGGCGGGGAAAACCCCGCCCTAGATGCCCGTTCCCCGCCACCGGCAGATCGGGCCCCGGGGGGAACCCCACCCCGACGTGCACATCACCCGGAAGTGATGCGGGCATGCTGGGGGCGGGGCCACGGTCATCCGAGGGAAATATGGTTTTCCCTCGGATGGTCGTGGACCCCCCCCCAGCATGCCCGGTGTGGTCGCGTCACTTCCGTGTGATGTGGTAGCAGCGCGTGTGGTGCTTTGCGCATGCACACGCTCTCCAGCCGCCAGCCGGGAGTCCCCCGCTGCGGCGAAAATAATACTTGGCAACCCTATGTAAAACAGTCTATTGCATCTGGGCCCAGTTTGCAGGGAGGCTTTTTCACTTATGCAACCCTAATGTATATAAGGGGTTCTCCAACATTTTCGAGCCTCTGGCCACCTTTGGAACGCTTACACAGCAGGATGAGCCCGGCCACAAAATGGCTGCTACAAAATGGCTGCTGCAAAAGGTGGAGCCAGCCACAAAATGGCTGCCGTGGCCAACCTTCAGTCACACGGTGAGGATCCTTGTGCTGTGGTGGCAGCTGCTGCCAAAGCAACATATTTAAAGATCTGCAGAGCCAGGAGGGAGGCCCAGCAAACGTTGCAGCCAGTGTTCCCCTCTAAGCTGACTTAGTGTGAGCTAGCTCACAGTTTTTTAGCCTCCGGCTCACACATTTTTTCCTTCGTTCAGGAAAGATGGCTCCAGAGCAAACCAATTTACGCAGTAGCCAGATCGCTCGCTCAAAACCTTAGTGAAACCCAGGAGTGACATCATCATGCAGTGTCGTCGGGGTGACGCTCTGGTATTTGGGCAAAATCTCTATGATAAATTTGGCTTCAGCCGTAGAATTTTTGCCCAAATACCAGAGCATCGGCAACATGATGACATCACTTCCAGGTTACTTCAGAAGTGACATAGACACATCACTGCAAGATCGACTGGGCCTCACTCTTTTTCCGGGTAAGGACCCCCCCCCCCCCCACTCCATTGATGGAAAGGGGGGCGGGGGGGAACCCCCCCCCCCCCTGGGGGGGGGGGTCGGTCTGCCAACCCTAAGAGCCAGTCAGGTCTTCAGTACTCGATCAGAAGCCTTCCCGGGCAAAAATCCCACTTGGCTTCACCCACTTTCTAAAAACACCCGGTGCGTGCCATAGCACCCACAAGCACCATGTCGGAGACCCCGGTATATACCCTGATTTTTATCCTGGTCTGCATCTTACAGCAGGGCGGGAGGGGAAGCAACAGTTAAAAGCTTGCAGCGCACAAAATTATACATTCCGAACGTGCCCTCTTTCTCAAACAACAATTTTCTCCTCCCCGCCAGATCTGTCTCCTTGACTTCCTTCAAGGAGCATAATATTTAAACCGATATCCCCGTTTTTCATTTTCAGAAGTTAATGATCCAGATGAACTCGAGGTACAAGACGGAAGAAATCGAAGAGGAAGATAATGCAATGGAAGCTGATGTATCGGATGAAGAAATGGCCAGAAGGTAACCGTTACCTTTTATGACATAGTTAACATTACCAAGAAAGATGAATCGCTGCTTTCCGTTCCCATGCCTAAGCAAAACAACCGAGCCCTTGATGCAGGGGGGAAAAACAAAAAACAAAACAAAACCCCTCACCTATTTCCCACTGCAAAATGAAATAACCGCGTTTTAAGCTAGTTGTTGATCTCCACATTCTCCAGGCGCTTTAATTTAGAGTTGGCGGATGCATGTTACTAATTTTACTGAATAGCCACTCAGTTCACCTCCGGAAACTCTTGACGGATTAATGCATCACTGTTTTTTGCAAATACAATTTGTACTCTTTAAAAAGACAAGCCTATTAATAGCGCCATTGTCAAATCTACAGTGGGAGGGAGTAAAACTGAAGGCTGCTGTCTCAGTGGCGAAGGCAAGTTTCTGTGCCGCGAGACTGTGTCTCTAGCTGTCGATGCCTCGGCTGGAAATTCCAATATGGAACCCTTTCAGACATCTCTGTTCCTTGCATAGATCAAGATGGGTAGCCGTGTTGGTCTGTCTGTAGCAGTAGAAAAGCAGTAAAAAAGTGGAAGAGTTTAGTAGCACCTAAAGTGGTTAAGATGCTCAACTGCAGGCTGTGGAAGGTCAGTAGTTCAGCAGTTCGAGACCCGAGTGTGCCGCATGATGGAGTGAGCTCCCGACTCTAGTTCCACCTCCTGCCAACCTAGCAAAGCAAGAAATTGCAAGTAGATCAATAGGTACCACTTCAGTGGGAAGGTAACAGCGTTCCGTGCGCCTTGGTGTTTAGTCATCCTGGCCACATGACCACGGAAACGTCTTCGGACAGCGCTGGCTCTTCGGCTTTGAAACGGAGATGAGCACCGCAACCCTCGAGTCGGACTCGACTGGCTTTCGGGCAAGGGAACCTTTACCTTATTTAAAGACTAACAAAATTCGTGGCAGGGTATGGAGCTTTCGTGAGCCACTGCTCACTTCTTTAGAACGCTCATTCTATGACCCAGATTTTGTTAGCCTTTAGGGTACTACTGGCCTCTTGATTTTTTCTGCTGGGGTGTTTTTGTTGTTTTGTGTGTGTGTGTGGTTGTGTGTGTGTGTGGTTGTGTGTGTGTGTGGTTGTGTGTGTGTGTGGTTGTGTGTGTGTGTGTGTTGTTGTGTGTGTGTGTTGTTGTGTGTTGTGTGTGTTTTGCCATGCAGCAGTTAGGTGCCCACCAGGCATGTCAGTTTGAATGCCTGACTTGGTGTGCTTGTGGTATCTTCTTGAAAAAGTATTTCCAGTGCCCCTTTTACGGATCCAGCCCATTCAAGGTTCACTGTAGACATGCCAGGGACGACAGAGAGGGTTAGGCCTTTTCTTCATTTTCTTCCCTTCAGCTGCCTTCAACTTGTTAAAGTATGGGTGTGCCAAGGTCATTCCTGTCTCTTCTGACCGGCACTGGGTCTCCAGGATCACAGGTGGAGGTCTTCCACATCTCCTAGTATGTGAGCCTTTTACCTGGAGATGCCGGGGATTGAACCCGCGGAACCTCTGCATGCAGATTAGGTGCTCATGCCCTGAGCAAACGGCCGCCCTGTTTCTCTGCCCTACATCTTGCCCTGCTTATCCATCAAAGGGGCCAGGACTTTGATTCTGTGAAGCAGCGGAGGCTGCTACGAACCCAGCCAGCTCCCGTCTGCGCTACCCGATTCTGGAGTCTTATTTCCTGGAAGTGCTAGACTGTGATGGATTATGAAGAACTGGTTTTCGCGTAGATGTTTGCTCGATCGCTGCAGTTTGCACACTCCTGTTCTGTCAGTGCATCCCAAAGAACTGCCTACAAGCTCATGCCTCTGTCAGAAAGGGAAGACGAGAAAATCCCAATATTGGCTCTTGAATAACTTAAACAACAGGGGTTGTGTAAGGAGGAGTGGAGAAGTTGTAAGAGTGCTGCTCTCGGATCTGAAAGAGCCATGCTCATATCTCCATTCTCCCATGAAGCATGCTGCATGATTTAGTGCGCCAGGCTGAGCGCCGTGACGGAAATGTACTAGATACCTACATACATGCTTGTATGTAGGTATCTAGTACAGGATTCTAAATACTGTTGAGGAGCTGCGGTGGCTCAAGTGGTTAAGATGCTGAACTGCAGGCTGTGGAAGGCCGGTAGTTCAGCAGTTCGAGACCCGAGTGTGCCGCATGACGGAGTGAGCTCCCGTCTCTAGTTCCAGCTCCCGCCAACCTAGCAGTTCGAAAGCAAGAAATTGCAAGTAGATAAATAGGTACCACTTCGGGGGGAAGGGAACAGCGTTCCGTGTGCCTTGGTGTTTAGTCATGCCGGCCACATGACCACGGAAACATCTTCGGACAGCGCTGGCTCTTCGGCTTTGAAACGGAGATGAGCACCGCAACCCTAGAGTCGGATTTGACTGGCTTTCGAGCAAGGGAACCTTTACCTTTAAATACTGTTGAGGGTCTGAGGAGACCGATGGGGGATAAATCCTGGTTATCGATTTGAAGGCGGAGAGGGCACAGCTTTTAGCATTCATAGTTTATAAGGTCAGAGTAAGCTACTCTGTTCTGACGCCGAAGACCTTGAGATTCCTCCACTGGAACTTTGTTGTTTCTGAACGTTCGTTTTGTTCTGCCTTTTAACTTTTACAGGTACGAGACGTTGGTTGGAACGATCGGGAAGAAGTTTCTGAAGAAGAGGGAACGCCGTGCCCTGCAGAACACAGACGAGGCCGAGAACGGTCCCCACGGGCCCAGCAAAGCGAAGAAAATGTTTTTGAAACCCCAGGATTAAAGCGACGTGGATGATTTGTGCATCCGTCAGGCTGGGGAAATATATTTTTGTACCTCGGTTAACACCAGTTATTTTTCTAAATCGCCAGCTTTCTTTATGTCCCCGGGATGGATGCATTGCTCAGAGTAGATGCACACGTAAATGGATGTCATACATCCTCTGTTCTCTGCGCATGGTTTTTTCTTTTAAGCGCGGGCCCAGTGAGATAACGTGAGTTTATCACCGCCTGTAAGCGGGCTGGTTGCCAGGCTCGGCTGAGAATACTTCCCGATTATGATTTTACCTGAACTGCAAGCAAAGACTTCAACGGCCAAGCGAATTCCGGCAGCTTCACCCTACAATGCTCTTTTCCGTTGTCATTTTATATTCTACCCCTTTTGCTTTTTTAAAAAGATTGGGTGGGTGGAGTTTTCGAGGAAGATTATTTTTTAAGAGCCGGACAACTCAACGATTTATTTGATTTATGTATTTGAAAAAAAAATATTTTATTGTAACGGAGTATTTTTATTGTTGTCTGCAGCTATTTTAAGTGTCTGTTCCCAATGCCTAATGAGAGTTGTGACTGCAAAAGGGAAGCAGTGGGCCAGGGGAGACATGCAGTTTTTGTGCTTGAGTAAAGGGGTGTTCTGTTTTTGAGCCAGTTCTTTGAAACTTCAGCCATTTCTTGCCGAAGGAGAGCTACTGAAGTATATGGGTGCTGTCAGTCTCTTGCCCCAGTGCGTATGGACCAGTGGGTAAAGGCTTTCTGTGCTTTAAAAACTAGTTGCGTCTTTAGTGCCTCCGGTGTGTCCACTGAATACCCCCCAAATCGCTCTTTGGAGAACTAGCGTCAGCCCTCCTGATCGCATAAGGTGGGGCAAGGAAACTGCTAGGTACCCCCTGCCCCACACATCTCCCCTTGTATATCATGCTACGAATTGTGTGCTTTTTCCATTTCCCTTCAACATTGTTGCATCCGGAGAGTCATACTTAACGATTTTCAGAATTGATAGCGTGCCGGCGATCTCGGCCAAAGGTGATCTCTAAGTCTGCACGTTTTTCTCTGGTCGGGGTCGGGGATGAAACCGTTTGGGGCGAGAAGGCCAAGAATCACGGCGTTTCTCGTTTGTCATCGAGGTCACAATAAACACACCCTGTTTCCAATGACCGCGTATGTTGTCTGGCTTGATATTATCCTGCTAGCCGCCATCCCAGTACGCCTGCTAGACTTTGCTCTGTAGAGAAAGCCGGGCGGCCGGAGGGGGGCGGTTAAAAGGATCAAAGGAGCGGGGGGGGGATCAGGGAGAGGGGGCACCACGTCTTCCAGAAAGAATCGGGCAGCTTGTTGAAGCAAGGCACGAACCTCAATTACCTTTGGACAGGCGACATACGCACGGCGCGGCAATCTTCCTCTTGACAGCACCTCATTAGCTATTCGAGATGGATCACACATGGGAAGATAAAGACTCTTTCGGACCCGAGGAGGGGGTCTTATTACTGCCAGAAGAAATATGATGCATTATCTTCTTTAACATTCCAGTGCTAATTAAAGACCGCTGGGTCAATGACTCAAAACCTGGTCAGAGGATATCACCATCATGGGCAGAAGTGAATGATTGTAGACTGTCCCCCCACCCACCCCTTCGGCTGGAAAAGAAGTTCTGTGCTAAGAAATGATTTATCATTGCTGGGCCCACTCCAGGTATTTATTTATTTGGATTTCTATCCCGCCCTCCCCGAAGGCTCAGGGCGGCTAACAGAGGCATAATGCCAGATAATAACAGCAAAACAGTATAAATTACTAAAAATACAAAATCAACAAGATTCATAAAAATCATTTCGGTGCTCCCCTACTCCCTTCCACATTTTAAAAACCAAGATGGCGTTCTCGATAGTATAGCTACACAACAACAGCAGTGCATATCACCACTGCCCTGTCGTTCCCTAGAAACGTCCCGCTCCCTCCGATGGTACCCGCACCAGCGGTGACAATGTGCGGAAATTATAGGGCATTGATGGAACAGTGGTGGCGGCGGCTCCTATTCGAAAGCCTGGCGGAAGAGCTCCGTCTTGCAGGCCCTGCGGAACTGTACAAGGTCCCGCAGAGCCCGGATCTCCTCTGGGAGCTCGTCCCACCAGATAGGAGCCGCCACCGAAAACGCCCTAGCCCTGGTCATCGCAAGTTTGATGGTCTTGGGGCCTGGAACATCCAGGAGATTTTGATTCCCCGACCTTAGTGCCCTTGGGGGAACGTGGGGAAAGGCAGTTCCTTAGGTAGGCCGGTCCCTCTTCGAATGAAAGAATCCTCTTCGAATGAAATAATCTCTTTGGTATCTATTAGGGCCCTCTGTGGAGGGAAAGGTTACAATGCTTTGTTTTCAGGTACTAATGAAAAAGCTCAGAAGCCGGCGTGGTAGTGTGCGTAGAGCAATGGTGGCGAACCTATGGCACGGGTGCCAGAGGCGGCACGCAGAGCCCTCTCTGTGGGCACGCGTGCCATCGCCCCAGCCAGGCCCAGACCGTCATTAAAGTGTGGAATTCTCGGCCAAATAATTTTAAGTAAATGAAAGCATTTGGGATTGCTTTCCTTACTTTGTTTGGATCATCTTATGTTAATGTATGAGTTCTTTTTTCTAAAGTAAAACCTCAGGATTCAGGTTAAATTGCCGTGTTGGCATTTTGTGATAAATAAGTGGGGTTTGGGTCTCAGTTTAGGCACTCGGTCTCTAAAAGGTTCGCCATCACTGGGGTAGAGCATCAGACCCAGGTTTGAATACCCAGTTTGCTGCAGGAAGTTTTCTGGGTGCCCTTGGGCCAGTCGCATGCTTTCTTGTCTAACATACCTCACAGGGCTGTCTTATGGTCCCCGCTGAGGAGAAAGGTGGAGAATAAATGAAATAAGTAAAGCACAAGGTTTGTTGTTAGGTGTCACTGTATAGGTATCCAGGTGAATGTCTGAAATTCTGAATTTCTGGGATTTTTATGAGGTTCAATTTGAAGGCTCTGTTTTAAACTCTGTATGGTACCTACAAAGTGCTGCTTCTAAACGGCAACATCCAATGACCCCTTACAATTCTCTCGTTCATAGCCCTTCCTTTCCTCTTAAGGAGCACAAGGTAGCATTGCATGGGTGTTACTTGTGAGGTTCAGGGGTCATTTCGTAGAAAAAGAGGTGCAGGAGCTCATTAGCATAACTTATTTGCATATGCCACACACCCCTGACATCACTGGAAGTGTGTCAGAAGGCAACACCCACTGCTCAGGCTCCACTGGACTGTTTTGGATTGCTAGCTGTGGGGGGGGGAATGTGCAGATCTGCCCTCGCAGAAGACGGAGAACTTGTACCTGAATAAACCTTGGCCTTAAAGGTGCCACTGGACTGTTTTAGATTGCTGTCTGGGGGAGGGGCTCTGCAACTTACCTGGCTGCTTCTTGTTCCTTGTGGCCCGCGGCTGCTGGGAGCAGGGGGTGGGGCTTGTTGTATGTGCCCGCCCCCTGGGCTCTTTACTGCCGGAGCTCCGCTCCTGTGCGCTCCTGCAGGAACTGACCCCTGGCTGAGGTTAGGCAGAAACAAGGAGGAAGAGGTTTGGATTTATCCTCTGCCCTTCACTCAGAGTCTCAGAGCAGTTTGCAATCTTCCCTTCCTCCCTGCACAACAGACACCCAATGAGGTAGACGGGGCTGAGAGAACAGCTCTGAGAGCAGTGTGACTGACCCAAGGTCACCCAGCTGACTGCATGTGGAGGACTGCACTTCTTCAGAACAGATCCTGCTGCTCTTAACCATTACACCAAACTGGCTCTGTCTTAAGTCACCCCCCAGTATCATCGTAAGAAGAGTTACCCTATTCTGTGCTCGTTCATCTTTATGGGCTTTATAAGTGGTATAAGGGTTCGGATGGCACTGCCGTTGATCATTTTCACCAAAACCAAAACTTGAACCCAGATCCCTCTGGCTGAGCTGTAGCTGTAATACCGCAATGGCTCTCTAATGTGGTGGTTAGGTAAAGGTAAAGGTCTCCCTTGCTCGAAAGCCAGTCGAATCCGACTCTAGGGTTGCGGTGCTCATCTCCGTTTCAAAGCCGAAGAGCCAGCGCTGTCCGAAGACGTTTCCGTGGTCATGTGGCCGGCATGACTATACACCGAGGCGCACGGAACGCTGTGACCTTCCCACCGAAGTGGTACCTATTTATCTACTTGCAATGTCTTGCTTTCGAACTGCTAGGTTGGCAGGAGCTGGAACTAGAGATGGGAGCTCACTCTGTCATGCGGCACCCGGGTCTCGAACTGCTGAACTATCAACCTTCCACAGCCTGCAGTTCAGCATCTTAACCACTCAAGCCACCGCAGCTCCAAATGTGGTTATCATATACCAACTGGGTTTCTTCCACTGCTCAAAACCTGTGAAATCCTGCCCAGGGGCACGGCCCTCCGATTCCTCCCTGTCCTCACGACCAATGTTCCCTCTAAGCTGTGAAGTCTTGTGAGCAAAAATTCTACTTCGTGAGCTACTGGCATTAAAGTTGTGAGCGAGTAATATGGCTACTGCATACACTAGTTTGCTCTGGAGCCATGCTTCCTGAGCAGACACAATGATGTGTGAGCCAGAGGCTAAAAAACTATGAGCTAGCTCACACTAACTCAACTTAGAGGGAACACTGCTCACGACTACCAGAGGCAGTCATGGTCTCTAGCTGAATGACCCATATGCTGGATATTGATAATATAACACTTATTTGGTTGTTATTTGAAGTTGCAGCCGGGGGTCATTTCCTGCGGGAGCGCACAGGAGCGGAGCTCCGGCAGTAAAGAGCCCAGGGGGCGGGCACATGCAACAAGCCCCACCCCCTGCTCCCAGCAGCCCTCAGACAACGCCGACCCAAAATCTCAGAGGAGGTGGAATTGGAGCAGTCCTTGGCTAGAAGGACCAACCGTCTGATCTGGCATAAGGCAGCTTGTTGTCCAACTTCTCTTCCTCCCGGGCCCACTGGACCAGCGCGTCGGACCCCCTCGGTAACTTTTTTCACTCAAGGCATTCTGCTGACGCCAACAGAATATTAACTGTCGTCCTCAGTGACCCATCGTGAGGTTAGACTTTGGTCCCTGCCTTTGCACTTTCCGGCAGTCACTCAGCCGACGAATTTCCCCTTTCTACGAAATGACCCCTGGTTGCAGCCATTCATTGAAACGCGTATCATTGCTCTAACTGATACCTGGCAGAAGCCTCAGGTTGCCAACATCTGGGTGGGGCTTGGAGATTCCCCACTATTAAAACTGTCCTCCAGACACTGGCAGAGATCCCTTCCTATGGAGGAAACGGCTGCTTTGGGGGGTGGGCTCTATCGCGTATCCTGCTGAGGTCCCTCCCCAAACCCCCACCTTTCCCAGGCTCCACCCCCAAAATCTCCAGGTCTTTCCCAACCCAGAGCTGCCGACCCTACAGGAACCCCACCCCACAGTCTTGGGTAACATGTCCTCAGGAGGTAGAATATATGCTTTGCCGGCAGAAAATCCCAGGTTCGGTCCCTTGCATCTCAACCAGCGAGGGTTAGCGAGCTAGTGAGGTGTAGTGATGCAACCGGAAGTTGTGTTTGTTAGGTGCCGTCAAGTCGGAGCCGCCTAATCGCAACCCTGTAGGGTTTTCAAGGCAAGGGACAACCGGGGGTGGGTTTGCCACTGCCTGCCTCTGCGTAGTGACCCTGGGCTTCCTTGGCGGTCTCCCATCCGAGTACTCACCAGGACTGACCCTGCCGCGCTTCCAAGTTCTAACAAGATTGGGCTCGCCTGGGCCATCGAGGTCAAGGTAGAGTGGGGAGACCCAAAACTCGTGGGCACTCAATGAAATGGCTGAGCGGTTGGGTTGGAACAGATAGAAGGAAGGACTTCTTCACCCAAAGAGGGATTAACACATGGAATTCACTGCCACAGGAGGTGGAGGTGGCTACAAGCATGGACGGCTTCAAGAGGGAATTAGATAAGCATATGGAGCAGAGAGGTCCATCAGTGGCTATGAGCCACAACGTATAGATAGGGACTCACAGGCTGGGGCAAGTGATGCTCTGTATTTTTGGTGCTGGGGGGGGCAACAGTGGGAGGGCTTCTAGTGCCCTGGCCCCACTGCTGGACCTCCTGATGGCACCTGGTGTTTCTGGACCCTGTGTGACAGAGTGTTGGACTGGATGGGCCATTGGCCTGATCCAACATTGGCTTCTCTTATGTTGTTATAAGAGGGAATTGGATAAACATACGGAGCAGAGGTCCTTCAGTGGCTATTAACCACAAGGTATAGATAGGAACTCTCGGTCTGGGGCAAGTGATGCTCTGTATTCTTGGTGCTTGGGGGGGGGCAACAGTGGGAGGGCTTCTAGTGTCCTGACCCCACTGCTGGACCTCCTGATGGCACCTGGTGTTTCTGGCCACTGTGTGACAGAGTGTTGGACTAGATGGGCCATTGGCCTGAACCAACTTTGGCTTCTCTTGTGTTCTTAAGTTCTTATTCAAATCGCCGCTCCTTCGTGTAACTCGTTGGGTGACCTTCGACCAGTCATTCTCAGCCTAAGATGGTGGACGAGAGAACTATGTGAGCCGCTTCGAAGTCCTTGGCAGAAGAGTGGGTTAAATACATGAAAGGCAGGAAACAACGCCGACCCAAAATCTCAGAGGAGGTGGAATTGGAGCAGTCCTTGGCTAGAAGGACCGACCGTCTGATCTGGCATAAGGCAGCTAGTTGTCCAACTCCTCTTCCTCCCGGGCCCACTGGGCCAGCGCTTTGGACCCCCTCGCTAACTTTTTTCACTCAAGACATTCTGCTGACACCAACAGAATATTAACTGTCATCCTCACTGACCCATCGTGAGGTTAGACTTTGGTCCCTGCCTTTGCACTTTTCGGCAGTCACTCAGCCGGCAAATTTCCCCCTTCCCTACGCCGTCTGCTCACCTTGGAAAGGCAGTCATGTTTACCCACTGAGATGTAGCTAGGTAAAGGTCTCCCTTGCTCGAAAGCCAGTCAAGTCCGACTCTAGGGTTGCGGTGCTCATCTCCGTTTCCAAGCCGAAGAGCCAGCGCTGTCCGAAGACGTTTCCGTGGTCATGTGGCCGGCATGACTAAACACCAAGGCACACGGAACGCTGTGACCTTCCCACCGAAGTGGTCCCTATTGATCTACTTGCAATTCCTTGCTTTCGAACTGCTAGGTTGGCAGGAGCTGGAACTAGAGACGGGAGCTCACTCCGTCATACGGCAACACGGGTCTCGAACTGCTGAACTATTGACCTTCCACAGCCTGCAGTTCAGCGACTTAACCACTTGAGCCACCGCAGCTCCTTAAGATGTAGCTAGTCCTTTGATTTTTAGAGAATGGGTAGGTAACCTTGTGGCTGCAATGCCAACTCCCCCGTCTATTTGTGGCGGCACTAATGTGCCGTCAACAAAAGAGTGTGGGGGGAGAAACGGACCTTAGAACTGCAGGTGGAGGCCCCAGGGCTTGTCTTAGTCCCTTGGGTGGAGAATTGGCCATGTTTGTTAGGCAAAATGGAAGCCAACATGCCAAGGGTTGCCTATCTGGCTTTTGATGTAGCCAGTTTGGTGTAGTGGTTAAGTGTGTGGACTTTAATCTGGAAGAACCAGGTTTGATTCCCCACTCCTCCACTTGCACCTGGCTGGATGACCTTGGGCAAGCCATAGTTCTGATAAGAGCTGTTCTTGAGAAAGAGCAGTTTCTGTCAGAGCTCTCTCAGCCCCGCCTACCTCACAGGGTGTCTGTTGTGGGGAGGGGAAGGAGTTTGTAAGCCGCTCTGAGACACCTTTGGGTAGTGAAGGGCGGGGTATAAATCCAATCTCTTCTTCTTCTTCTATCTTTGTACACATAGAGTTTGCTCCCAGAGGCTGTAGCGATGGCTTTAAAAGAAGATTAGACAGATTAATGGAGAATAGGTCTATCAGTGACTACTGGCCACAGTGACTAAAGGGAACCTCCATGTTCAGAGGCAGTAAACCTCCGAATACCTGTGCCAGGAGGCAGCATTAAGGAAGGCCTTGACCTCTATGCCCTGTTGATGGACCTCCACAGGAACTGCTTGGCCACTGTGTGAGGCAGGACGCTGGACTAGATGGACCACTGGTCTGATTTGGCAGGGCTGCTCTTGTGTTCTGGATAATATACACATTCATTAATGGGCCAGGGAGAACAAAAGCCCATGTACTTGACCGCCCAGCCCTACATGAAGGCAACCTTTGTTTTAGTGCCCAGTGATCAACCTTTGGACATTCAGAGCATAGAGCTCTAGTACTTCTTTTTAAGTAGAAGAGAAGAGATTGGATTTATACCCCGCCCTTCACTTGGAGTCTCAGAGCTGCTTACAAACTCCTTTCCCTTCCCCTCCCCACAACAGACACCCTGTGAGGTGGGTGGGGCTGAGAGAACTCTGACACAAACTGCTCTTTTTCAAGGACAGCTGTGCCAGAGCTTGTGACTGACCCAAGGTCACATCAGCAGGTGCAAGTGGAGGAGTGGGGAATCAAACCCGGTTCTCCCAGATTAGAGTCTGCACACTTAACCACAGCACCAAACTGGCTCTATCATCTACTACCATCTAGGGAGTCCATAGATCCAGCTGATTTCGATACTCAAGTAAATTGACAAGTTTTGGGGAAACAGAGGCACTATGTGTTAGCCCGCATGAGAGCCGGCGTTGCAGAACGGTGGGCTAGGCCCCGGGACGGCCACTTTGAATCCCTGCTCTACCATGGAAGCGTGCTGGGCCTGCCACAATCTCTCAGCCTAACCTACCTCACAGGGCTCTTGTTGTGGTGGAAATAAAGCAGAGGGGCGAAGAACAGTGCAGGAAGCCCCTCTGAGTCCCAATGAGGGAGAAAAGAGGGATTTTTAAAATTAAAAAAGTATTAGTGAAGGTGAGCAAGGGAAAGAAAGAGCTCACCCTCCCTAATATAGTAACATTGTGGGGAGTATGTTGAAATACAACTAGAGACCTGAGTTCGAATTCCCCACTGAGCCATGAAGTTTACTGTGAGACCATGGTGGACCAGTTACATTGCTTCAACTCACACAACCTCAGAGGGTTAGCTGTCTATTTTTCTCTCCTGAATTTTATCCCCGTATGGTCTTTGGAGGGAAGGGAGGTTAAAGGAACATGATCGATTTTGTATTGTTTTAATTTCTTTCCAGGACATCATTTTATAAAAACTGTGAATGAATAGTTGGAAGTTGCTGCTGTGGTTCAGATGGTTTGCATTGCCGGCATTACACACTTTTAAAGTGTTTTATGAAATTGAGACACATGCCTCTTAATGTTTGTGATTTGACTTTATTTATCTGCTTATTTATTTTGTTGCAAAGACTGGGTCTTGGCAGCCCACGTTCCAAGTCATTGGCAGCCAAAAATACGCAAATCTCAGTAAAGGACTAGAAACCTGCCCCCCCCTCCCAAATAGAAGCTTGTAAGGCTATACGTCACATATACAAATGCCAAATCTGTAAAGCAGAACATTTTCTGATAGCGCTGGAGAATTTTTAAACAATAATTTTAAATAACAGCTCATTGAAGAACGAAAGAGGAAAAATACGGAGCCGTGTGCTGCTGCTTCATTAGAATGGGTGTTGGAAGCGTGGCTCAAAAGTGGCCGATGGAGATGTGAAGAGAGCTAAATGGAGACTCAAGCAAAAAGCCTCTGCAAATATTGGGCTGGGTAATTAAAATTTTATCAGTTGTCATCCATATTTTGCAGATAAAGCCTTCAAGGAGGATACTCGTCCCTCACTCACTCCATTAAATGCCACGTTTATCCAAAGCATGCGCCTTCATGGATCTGAGATCAGTATACTTTATTAAGGTATTTTAAAGCTTTCCCTTTTTGACCCATGTACACAGTCCAGTAAAAGAACATCAGCATTTGATTTTTAGGAACAAGGGAACCCTAGCCTTGCTTAAGCTAAGACCATGTCGTTTTTAATTTATCCTTGCCTTCTATTGGCAGCTAACTTGATTCTTTTAGAGGGATATATTTTCCTTTAAGTCAAAGCCCAACCATTGGGGTTGCCAGCTTTGGGCTGGGGAATTCCTGGAGAATTGGGAGTGGGGGGAGGGACCTCAGCAGGGTATAATGCCATAGAGTCCACCCTCCAAAGCAGCTATTTTCTCCAGGGGAATTGTTCTCTGTCATCTGGAGACCAGTTGTGAATCCAGGAGATCGCCAGGCCTCACCTGGAGGTTGGCAGCCATACCAACCACACAGGCTGTTTGCAGGTACGTGAGGGATGGGGCCTGTGTGAATTGCTCCCATTTATACTTAACATATTTAAAAGCAAATGAGTCTTGAGGGATAGCCTATCCATACAAGATTTTTCAGGGTGCACGTCAGAGCACGTGCTCTGTCTTCAAGGAAAGGTAATGGGATATGAAATGTAGTCTTCACTGCTTAAGGGCTGGAATCCGTCTGAAATCCATCACTCAAAACGAACGTTACCTTGTTTCAGCGGGCTTGTCGGCTTTTATCTACGAAGTTGTCAATGCCATTGAAAACACAATAAACAACTATCACATTGTGCAGATTGTGATCAGCGTGTTGGCGGTTTTAACTTTTTCTTTATTTTAGAGCTTTGTTTTTTCTATTGTCATTTATTGAAGGCTGGATTGAATCTTGTAGCGGCGGTTTAGGCCATTTTGCAAAAACCTTTCTCCTCCTCGTTAGATTGTATAAATGCCTTTGATGTTGACAGGAACGAGTTTGTTCTCCAGACTGATGTTGAATTTCTCCTGCAGCGTTTTTTCCACCTCTTCGTCTGTCAGGGTGGCAAATTCCACCAGATCCATGTCCTCCTTGTAGTTGTAGGTGGTCTCGGACAGTGTCCACCCGATCAGAGCTCGGAATCCGTCAGCCGTTTGGAGGGTGCAAATGGATTTCTTTGTAAACAAGGATTCCGGGGAGGTCTGGAGGTAGGAGCATTGGAACTGAAAATCTTCCACTTTCCGGGGCTCGAGGCTGAACAAATAGATGTTTCTGCGCTCTCTCTTCTCCAACAGATCCGAATTGGAGAAGCTTTGGTTGGGAATATATTGCTTCCTTCTGATTTTCTCATAGTACCAAATGCCATTGTCTTCGGTGAAGCGAAATATCCCGGGGGTCTGCGGCTGGTCTTTGCCAGACACCAACTCCATCGGTTGCCACATTTGGTAGGAGACACCAAAGCCAGCATCTACAATGTAGGCTGCGCCCTCCACGACCACCTTCACGATAAGATGGGTCATGTGAGTGGCATAGACGTTCAGCTGCGGGTTGTAAACGTAGGCTCCCAAAATGGTCGTGTTGTACCCCAAGGTCTTCAAAACCCACGACAAGAGCTGGTTGTTCTCCATACACCAGCCTCCGCGCCTTTTCTTGACGATTTTGGTATAGACTTGAGCCAGATCCAAAGTAATGGTTTCCCCGCAATGGATGCTGAGGTTTTCGAACGGGACGGCTCGTATGTGGTGCTGGAAGATGGCCGTGAGGGTGGCCAGATCGCGTTTTTCGAGAGAGCCTTTGTAGCCAGTTCTTGCGAAATACTCTTCTAGGTTCATGTCTCCTGGAAGGCAGATGTTAAAGAAACTAATTTTTAAAAATGGCAGCGTGAAAAGGGGGCTTCTTACGACTTCCCGCTAGCACAGCCTGCAGTCTCTCTGAATTTTTTTTTTTAAAGCGTGTGACTTTAAAGAAGATTGCCTAGTTGAATCAGAGAAGCACAGGAAGAAGGATCTTTGGGTCTACTGCAATGTTCCCTCTAAGCTGTGGAGTCCTGTGAGCAAAAATTCTACTTGGTGAGCTACTGGCATTAAAGTTGTGAGCGAGCGATTTGGCCGCTGCATAAATTCGTTTGCTCTGGAGCCATCCCTTCCTGAGCTAAGACGGAAATGTGTGAGCCGGAGGCTATAAAACTGTGAGCTAGCTCACACTCACTCAGCTTAGAGGGAACACTGGTCTACTGAGTGATTGCTGAAGAACCTTCGTAAGACATCGGCACGTCACTCGTTTTTCAACCTGCTCTGAGCACTTTATGTTACAAACTGCTGCATGGAGCTGTACCTCCTTTAGCTCACATTCTGAATGGGATTTCCTTCTTCACCACTCAACTGTGAGCAGTGTTCCCTCTAAGCTGAGTTAGTGTGAGCCAGCTCGCAGTTTTTTAGCCTCCAGCTCACAGATTTTTGTTTTAGCTCAGGAAGGAGGGCTCCAGAGCAAACTAATATATGCAGTAGCCAAATCGCTCGCTCACAACTTTAATGCCGGCAGCTCACAGAGTAGAATTTCTGCTCACAAGACTCCACAGCTTAAAGGGAACATTGACTGTGAGTCTATCATATGCTAATTAAGGAATAGTCAAAACCTTGGATATCTGTTTCAGTACGAGGCCGAAGCTGATTATGGATCAGCAGCTCGGATTTGTTAATGTTTAGTACAGAAACTTCACATCTCTAAAGCCTGCAATATAATATTCAGTGTGGGAGTAGCAGAGATGTCAGGAGAGTATTTTGAAAGGCCTGTCCTCCGGCAATACTGTGACATTCTAAGCATTCTAGTCTAGTTCACATGACTTCTCTACATGTTTTGGATGACCTCTTAATCCTCTGCAAAAAAAAAAATGAGACTATTTTTAAAATGCCAACATATAGTTAATAATATACAAAACCACAGGAATGTAGTTCATTTTAAAATATTCTCATCGGTATGGCATTAAAAAACCCCCACAACTGGCTTCTCTCCCCTGTTTGATCCCAAATTGCCTCATCGCACCAACTAAAGTTTCATCAAGAAGACTGGCTTTTAATTAGGCTAATTAACCTTAAAGAGTTTCTTTTAAAAATATTTTTAAAGCTACTTACCAGTTGCAATATTTAAATGATGGCTCTGCTGGGATTTTACTGTATCCGTTGGCGGCAAAGCGTAGATTATTTGCTATAGTAATAAGTATACCAGGGAATTCTTCGGCTTCAGTTCTGAATCACCTTCATTCTTCAAACAGGCTCTGTTTTTTGGTGCTATTTGGAACTGGATCTTAAACGCCCCCCAAAGGACAAAGTCCATCTGAAATGTCTGCACATATCCCAGTTCCAGTGATCTGTGAACTGATTAAACTTTGGCTCTGAACATTTTAGTGGTGGCTTTATTTCCAGATGATTTAACAAGATTTCTTGAAGTTAATGCTGGAAAAAACAAAACCCCAAATACTTTCCTGTTCAGAGGGTACTTAGAATACATGAAAGACCCCAAGATTCTTCAGCTAGTTCTGTGCACTTCAAGAAGAAGAAGAGACTGAATTTATACCCCGCCGTTCACTACCCAAAGGAGTCTCAGAGCGGCTTACAAACTCCTTTCCCTTCCCCTCCCCACAACAGACACCCTGTGAGATGGGTGGGGCTGAGAGAGCTCTCACAGAAACTGCTCTTTTTCAAGGACAGCTCTTATCAGAACTATGGCTTGCCCAAGGTCATCCAGCCAGGTATAAGTGGAGGAGTGGGGAATCAAACCCGGTTCTCCCAGATTAGAGTCTGTGCACTTAACCACTACACCAAACCGGCGCACTTAACCACTACACCAAACTTCAAGGGGGTTCTAGCCTCACATGCACCGAAGGAGGAGGAGAAGAACCCTAGGTTTTTATACCCCACACTTCTCTACTTCAAGGGGTCTCAGAGCAGCTTACAATCGCCTTCCTCTCCCCACATTAGACTCCTTGTGAGGTAGGTGGGGCTGAGAGAATTCTGAGAGAACTGTGACTGGCCCAAGGACACCTAACAGGCTTCCTGTGGAGGAGGACTGGGGAATCAAACCCGTTTTTCCAGATTACAGTCTGTTGCTATTAACCACGGCACCACACTGGCTCTCTAAATGCCTTCGCTTACTTCATCATATGCTACACCACTCTTAACCACTATACCACATTGGCTTTCTGGAGCTGGTCCAGCATATATAACCAGCCAGCTTTGAAACGGAGGACAATTTCCCAAGGAGTTGATAATATACTTTTAGGAATCCCAGCTCCTGATTGGGAAATTCCTGGAGAGGTCCATCAGTGGCTATTAGCCACAAGGTATAGATAGGAGCTCTCAGGCTGGGGCAAGTGATGCACTGTATTCTTGGTGCTTGGGGGGGGCAACAGTGGGAGGGCTTCTAGTGTCCTGGCCCCACTGCTGGACCTCCTGATGGCACCTGGTATTTTTGGCCACTGTGTGACACAGAGTGTTGGGCTGGATGGGCCATTGGCCTGATCCAACATTGGCTTCTCTTATGTTCTTATGAGATTTGGGGGTGAAAGGGCAGGACAGACCTCCCCTCCAAAGCAGCCATTTTCTTGCTGGTCTGGCAGTCAGTTGTAATTCTGGGGGGTCCCCAAGTCCCACCGGGAGGCTGGCAACCTTATTTAAGACCATGACGTTCGAAGATTTTTTTAAAAAAAGCTTTGCAAACTAAATCTGAAGAGATCTCTGAATCTGACTTTAGATCCAAAAACAACCTGGGACCAGGAGGCTTTAAAGACTGCTTTCTCCCGCATGAACCTCCACATTAATTTGGCCTTGATCCGGACACTTCTACCATCTGATGCAACAGGGCCTTATTGGAAATTCCAAGCACTGAACCAGAGCCAGTGTGGTGTAGTGATTACAGCAGAGGTCCCCAACCTGGTGCCCACCTTAGGGACCCATGGGCACCATGTGCCCACTGATGCCTGTACTGATGCCGGCCAAGTGTTTTTTTAGAAAGTGGCCAAGGCCAAGTGGGGCTTTTGCCCAGCAAGGCTTTGTATTGGTCACTGGAGATTTGATTGGCTGTACAGATTTTTCCCAGTAGTCATGTATGGCTGCGAGAGTTGGACTATAAGGAAGGCCGAGCGCCGCAGAATAGATTCTTTTGAACTATGGTGCTGGAGAAGACTCGTGAGAGTCCCTTGGACTGCAAGGAGATCAAATCAGTCAATCCTAAAAGTAATAAACCCTGACTGTTCCATGGAAGGCCAGATAATGAAACTGAAGCTCAAATACTTTGGCCTCCCAATGAGAAGGGAGCACTCACTGGAGAAGACCCTGATGCTGGGAGAGATTGAAGGTCAAAGAAGACGGGGACGGCAAAGGATGAGATGGTTAGACAGTGTCATAGGTGCAACGAACATGAAATTGAGCCAACTTCAGAGGACGGTGGAAGACAGGAGGGCCTGGCGGGATCTGGTCCATGGGGTCGCGAAGAGTCGGACTCGACTCTGCGACTGAACAACAACAACAACTTCACCATCATAAGTGACAGCATCTGAACAATCTAGCCTTACAGATGGTGTCACTATCATGTAACTGTGACCAGTGTGGTCTAGCTGAGAGGCTGTTGGACTTTGATTAAACCACAAGGATGGTGTTCAGGTCCCAGCAAATCCCATTCACTCAGCTTCCATACTTTTCTAAACAGCTACAAGGAGTCCCCAATTCATCAAGATAATGCATTTCATAAATGTTGGAGGAACATATTCCTCTGTGGTAGACAGAAACATGACTGCAGTTTAGGGAGCTCAAGCAGTTCCTTTTTGTGCCCCCCCCCCTTCTTATTCCTCACAAACACCAGATATATTGTTATTACAGGGTGTAAGATGTCACCATAACAAATACTATTAATGCCTATACTTATTTATTTAGGTATTTCAACCCTGCCTTTCTCTCCAATGGGGACTAAGGATGCCAGCCATCAGCTGGCAGCCCCTAGGCACCTTTGGGGGTAGGAAAAATGTGACTGTTGTGTTTCAATGGTTGTAACTTGTTCCACTGTTGATGTTTAGAAGTTCGTTCAATTCGGGAGACTGCATGACATATTTTTCTAGAGTGTCCCCGGAGATGACTTTTCAGGGAGCACAAAGGACTACTAGGGGAAAGGAAAGATGGTAAAAATTGCTTCTATGTAATAGCTCCATCATGGAAGCCTTAGATACAACCCCATGTGTATAGTTGAATGAAGTTTAAAAAACTGGGTTGCCAATTCTAGATTGGGAAATTCCTGGAGATTTGGGATTGGAACCTGCGAACAGCAGATCTGGGTAGAGGTGGCACCTCTGCAGGGTATAATGCCATAGAGTCCACCCTCCAAAGAATACTTTTTCTCCAGGGGAACTGGTCTCTGTTGTCTGGAGATCAGTTGTACTTCTGGGAGATCTCCAGGCCACACCTGGAGGCTGGTAACTCTGTAGCGTACATAGTACCTTGAGTAAATCATATCGATGTTCACCAACATTAACATTTTAACACTGAGTCCTTGGGAATTTGTTAACACCAAATTTCAGACAAAGAGAAGAGAATTTGAAGCTGTAGAATACATTTTATTTAAGATATCCATCATTATCTTGCAGGGGGCAACACCTCACTTTCTCCTATATCCCCTTTGCCATCCTCTTTCCCACCTCCTGGCAACTCCAGTATCCTTACTTTTCCCTTCTGCCTTCACTGCAACTGTCTCTAAAGCTTCTGATATGTAGCTAATCACTATCATCCTTGGGTGCTTTCTGCCCAGCTGTTAAAAGGTAAAGGCAAAGGTTCCCTTGCTCAAAAGC